CATTTCCTTTGTTTCCAGTGGAATTACAAGATTCAGGAGAAGAGATGGACAGCGATCTCCTGCTCAGTCGCTTCACCGCAGGGAGGAAAAGGAAGAGAGAGACGAAGGGCCAGGGCAAACGTTCTTCATCCCACCACGAGGAGGGTCCTTCTCGAGAGCCGGTCGTAATTGCGGTGGAGGACCAAGAAGATGCTACCCAAGAACCGGGTACCATGGCTGGCCAGTCCCCTCCACACCCCGTGATGCAGGGTGGCGACCTCGCTGGGTCGTCTCAGGGCATTGCCTTGGAGCGACCTCCATCACCACCCGTAGTGACCTACGAGGTGGCGACCGGGGGTCGCTTGACGAGGCTCTGCATCCCTCCCCTGCCCCAAAGCCTAGGAGACGTACAGCTGAAGACTCTTATTACTCTGCATGCAGAAGGCCAGGCTCGTATCTCGGCAGGCTCCGAGGACGACCTTGACAACATGGTCCTTTTGAGGCTCAGTCAGGTACTGGTCTTGATCTCCTACGCATCACTCCTTTTCTTTAGGCCCCTAACCCTCACCCCTTTGCGCAGGCTACGCTGGGGATGATTGAGGTGGTCGGCCGGAGACGGGGTCGCCAGGCCGCCGCGGATGAGGTGATGAAAGCAGCCGAGGCCAAGCAGAAGGAGCTGCAGGAGGAAGTCGCCCGACTTACCAGGGAGTTGGAGGAGAAAGAAAATCGCTGCGCGGCGCTTACTGTGGAGAAAGCTTCCCAGGAGAACCGCTACGTCGCCCTTGAGGCAGACAAGGCCTCCTTGTCCTTGGAGGTAGAATCTGTTTCTGCTCGAGTGGTCGAGCTGGAAGGTGAGAAATCTGATCTGATCCAGCAGTTGGAGGTGGAGAGGAGCGATCGGGTCCGCCATGCAGAGGGAGCGGTAGAATCCTTCAAGTCCTCTCCTGACTTCACGGTAGTCGCAATGGAGCGGATGAAAGAACTAACGGCCGCTTGGCTGAAAACTGAACCTGGGGCCTAATGGATGGTCAAGGAGGGAACCAAGTCCTTCAATTGCGGACTCTTCCATGCCTAACAGGTCTTCCACAACAGGCTGGCCCAGCTCCCTAAAGGATTCTCTCTCCCCGACCTTGGCTTCCCTCCTCCCTGCCGCTCCTTGGCCGAGTTCGACCCCAGTCCCTATCTGGACGGGGGGAGCTCGAGTGCGTCGGAAGAGGAGGAAGAAGAAGAAGTGGAAGGTGGTCAGAGCGACCAGAATCCAGGGGCCAACCTAGCCATGTCCAAAGTGGGTGGACCCTCCGGCTCGGCCGTCTAAATCCCCCATTGTTCCCCCATAGCTTTACCAACACTTGCCTATCTCTTTTCCTTCGGAATGATTTGTCGTTTTGATACAATGCTCCTATGTTGTTTAATTTTCTAGATTCGCCATGTGTTTTCTCTTTTTGGCGCTTTACTTCAGCACTCTCTTTTTTGATTTAGCTGGTTAACATGTATGTTTTAGTTTGGGCCCAACTCCTAGTCCCGGCCCGTTTACCTGCCCGGGCTCAATCCCTGGATTGGCCATCGTGCCGCCCAATTGATCCAATGCCCTTCGTCGTTTCTGATTGGACCTTCGCGCGGCTCAAGGCTGCTTTATCGGTTCGGCTGCCTCGAGACTTGACCGCCTCTTCGGTTCCTTCGCCTTGGCTTATTTATAAGTCCCCCTGGCCTCTACTCTGCTCCATCACCAAATATCCCCCTTTTCTCCATTCTTGCCATGTCTGAAGGAATTCCTGTTTCTCTAGATCTTTCCGACGGGCCGGCTCCTTCTTCGCCGGAGCCTGCCTCTTCCCCCAAGTCAGTCAATTCCAATGACTGGGGGGGCTTGACCCTTACGAATTCTGTCGCCGTTTGCCTCGCCGGCAGTGGCCGTCGGTGAAACCGCCGCCGCCACCTCCAAACCCTTATGAAGACTTTAATGAGGCGTACGAGGCCCTCTCCGCCAACTGCCTGCCTGACGGGCGGATTGACTGGGATGCTCCATGCCCCCTCCATTCCCTGCAATGTATGGTCTGGGAGAGCCTTCAATATGAGCACTTACCCCTCCTGGAGCATGAGTGCGCATATTACGCAAGTTTTGAGCGATGGACTAGCGAAAGCCGCACCAGTTCGCCGGTGAGGCCTTCGGAGGAGGTTGTGTTAGGGAAAGAACTGGGTTCTCCCCTACCTCGCCCCGCTTGCCGTTCGCTTCCCCAGAAGACCCCTAGGCGACCTGAAGTAGCTCGGGCGGCTTCAGGATCTCCGTCCTCGCCTAGGTGATGCTGGTTGGGGTTCACAGAGAAGTGAGCCGTCCCCCGTCCTTCCTTGGTAGGAGAAGGGCGGTGGGTTTTCGCCGAGGCTAGGGGCGACCACTCCCGTTCCATGTTGGGGAAGAAAGGTGGTCGTCCTGGACGGCCGGTGATCGGAGTTTTGCTTGCCTATACAGCCGCAGAACTACCTTTCAGACCCGCCTGTCCCCCTTAGACCTTCGCTCGCAAAGTCTTAGATTGTTGTTTTTCATTGTAGGAGATGTATGGGGAAGTATCCTTCCTAACGTAGAGATTGTTCTCAACTGTACTGTAGTAGATGCAAGAGATTATCCTTGAAATGTAATGAACATTTCTGTGACTGTATTTTGATGTTACCTGTTTACTTACAAGTTTCACCTTCTTCTCTTTCGCATCCTACATTTGACGTTCCGGTTCCCTCGGACTTGAATCAGAGAATACCTCGCCTCTTTTGACTTAGCCACTTTCGGGTTACTTTGACCCTTGTGGCGTCGCCATACCCCCAAGATCCCCTGGTCGCTCATGCGATCAACAGATCTTGTGTTCCAGACTTAGCCGTTCTCTCAGACTTTCTTGCCACGGCGTC